GTTTTTTTTTTTTTTTTTTTTTTTTTTCATTCAGAAGATGGTTGTTTTAACCCGTTTTCGACACACTTTAATACATACCAAATGAAATTGAAATATTGCACTCTTAATATCATTGCTAAGCGCTCATGGCCTAGTTTTTCACTTTTTAATGGTGTGCGAAATGATCAACCATAGCAAAAGTTACGATGTATCAAAGTAGGTTGTTCCAAATTAGTATTTCGAAATAATGTGCTAAATTTTAAAATTTGCCAATGATCGTATATTATCCAAATCTACAAATCGCTTGAATCATGTAGAAGTTCGTTGCGAAAACTATATAGTAGTCGTATCGAGTGGTCCAAACAGATATCGAAAATAGTTAAATATGCGTCAAACGTACGTATTAAAATAAACATTTAACTCGTCTTTTTTAAAAAAAAAAAATCAATTATTTCATAAATGTTTATTATTTTTTCACGATAAATTTTCTAATATAATTTACATCATTTTATTAGGAAATTTTACATTAAAAATGATGTCAAAAATTCTAAAATCGTTACGGATTAATTGTAATTTGAATTAATTTCAAATTATTTTTTCCTTAAACTTAAATTTTATTTACTTCTTACATCCAATTTGATTTACTCTTCGTTAGCTCAACATCCATATATGAAATGGTAAACAAAACTATACATGTAGCAAAATTCATTTAACAATATTGATAATTATAGAATTATAAGACATTTTCAAGATGTCAAAATGCGCATTAACTTATTTTTATAAATATTATATTGTTTTAAAAAATTACACATTATTTTTTGGAGTTAAGCACAACCCTCAAGGATGACCTCGCAAGTGACCGCGCCCTCATATGCTTGGCGAGGTCCCATGAATAAAATAATCCAGACTTCATGTGTGTGTGTTGTGTCAACCTTGCGATCATTCATGTGGACACTGTAGCACGACTCTAATTTTTGACCCCGCAATCCAAAATGGTTCTGCTCCTGATTTGAGGAGTTTAAAGACTTTGTATTTGTTATTACCTATGTCTACGAAGGGTTGTTTTGATCACACTGATATACATGCGAGTTGACTAGCTACTATTTTTGTTAGGATGTAAAAAGGGTTATTGTACAAATGCTGGACGCATCGCGAGCGTGTGGTAAAATAGAGCATTTTAGCCTGATATACAAAAACAGGCAGTTTCCAAATTTTTCAGATCAAATGAGAATATTTTGTATTATTATAAATATAGTCATTAATATTGAGAAATTCTAAATAATAATATTTTAAATATATATCGTACTTACCTTAAAAGAGGGAATCTTTCCTGCACTATTCGTTTAAGAAGTATTTTCTTTTTCCCATTTTATCCTCAAACAAACAACAAATCCTCAAAGAAATAACACCTTTGTATCTTCTCGTCCTTTCCACTTGCTTTACATTATCGAACAAAGAAACCCTACAAATTGATTTTATGCTCTTCTTGTTCTTCCACAGATCTTTAGATTAATGCATCTTCAGATTAACGCACAGATCTGCAGATTAACACAGTCATACAGGTAATATGTTCTTGTCCTTCATTTATTTTGGTATTTCATTTCATTTTTCCTATTTTGGTTGTTTATGCAACCTTTCTATGCAACTTATGTTTTTTCATTCCTTACTCTATATTTCATCTATTCTTGTTGATTTTTTGTAGGTTTTGTGTTCTAAAGTTTATGGGTTTGGTTGAAAGTAAGCTTTACCCTTTTTCAAACACAAAATCTAGAAATCTAAATTTTTTCTATAATTTTTAGTTGGATGTTTTATAAAAATTGTTACTTTGTTCATGTTCTAAAGGTTTTCTATTTTTTTCACTTTTTTTGAAACAGATATCGTACCACTATACTTTGTTAAATTTTGAAGCTCAAAATTTTGGAAGTCGTATGTTTTTTTCTAAGGGTTTAAGTTTCTGTCTTTGGTTTGATTTTTTTCTTGTCCTATGGAATCCCTTCTTTGTAACTTCTATTTTTCTTTCCTTACTATGTCTCCCGTCGGTTCACGTTGATGTCTTGCAAATTTCGTTTTGTGAAGTTTATGGGTTTGATTAAAAGATAAGGTTTAATATTTCTTCAACACAAACACTAAAAATGTACAATTTTAACCATAATTTTTAGTTGAATTTCTATGAAAATTGTTCATGTTTTAAAGTTTTCGTATTGTTTTCATTTTCTTGGAACAAAAATCACAGCAACGTACTTTGTTAAATTTTCGTGCTCAAAATTATGGATGTCATATGTTATTTTTTAGGGGGTTTAAGTTTGCCTATTTGATTTAATATTATTTCGTTCCTCTCTTCTTTCGGATTTAAAGTTTTTCAATCTATGGTCCATATTTTCTTCTTCATTTTTATCTAAGTTAGCTTTATTAATTCAATCTCATGTTTATTCATTGATATTCTACGGGTTTAAATGATATGTGTCTCTCGGATTTTTCTTCTTTTCGTTCTCTACTGATAGTAGGTATGAATTTTTTATTATTTTTAATAAATAAGTTATTGAATTATTTTGTATTTACTTATTCACTTTTCTTCAAACAAAAATAGTATTTTGACTAATTTTATTTCCTTTATTTTGTCTCCCGGTTAGCAGAAAGAAACGTCAGATTCTTCAAATGGTGACTTTTGCTAGACATCAAAATGCCTTGAAATGAGTTGAAGCTGAGTGATAATCGTAACTATTTCTTTGCATTTTCTCGAAGCCAGTGCAATCAATAGTTAATTTTTTCTTCTTTATTATAAATAGACTTTCTTTTGTGTATTACATGTTTTTCCCCTCTTTCATTATATATATAAAGTTTTGTCCTTACCACTTCAACTTGACGTTTGTTTATTGATATTTTGTGAGGTATTTGCCTATGGGATTTTCTTCTTCTTTCTATTGGTAGCAGGTGTAAATTTTTTTTTTTTTTTGTCTTACTTTCACTTAAAAAGAATCTATCCTGCTTTTACCGATCATTTATTTTCAGTTGTTTTCATAATTGCCTTGTTTGAAACAGGTTTAGTATTGTGCATTAAAAACAGGGGGTTGCATTATTCATAGAAGTTAAAACTAAGTATTGGAATAAACGTATAGGTTAAATATTTATTAGATGATGAAATTTGATTCTAGAATATGTATATGTAAGAATCATAAGGCTCATTTTTGTATTTGTAATTAGATTTTATTTATTTATTTATTTATTTTTTTGGGGTAAGCGAATGTGAAGAAAATTGGAATTACAAGGTCCGGGAATTTTGAAATGTTTGAACTATAAATTTATTTTATTTTTGGAAATGTAAACTTGTTATTAAGGGTTTTTGTTTTTTTTTTTTTTTTTTTTTTAATGATGTTACTTGTGTAAGTCGAACAAGTTAGTAATAAATTTTTGGTTATCTAGTTATTGCTTTATTTATAGAATTTTCATTCTCATTTGAAATAATTGATTCCAAAACAGTAGGTATTTCTATTAAGATTGAACTTTTATTTCTCTATAACTATATAGTTCATTCATTTGATATTTCTCTTAAATTTCAAAATATTATTTTCTCATAGGTTTTAGATTCCAATAAACTAATATTTATATTTACATATAAAATTGTGTACTATAACAAAGCTAATTCCATGTTTAAGTTTCATTTTAGCTTATTTTGGCTTGTCATCATTTTGTGAAATTATGTTTTCCCAATAAATAGTTCGTCTCAAAAATATAATTTCCTTCTTTATACAGTTGAAATCTATTTTAGTCGTATTATCATTGATGTATTTCTAATATTTCAAGATGTTTATAATGTGGAAAAAGTTTCATTGTTTATCTTCTCTTGTGAAGATTTGTATCTAACAACTATGGGGAGATGATTGACCACACTACACCAAAAATCATCATTTGCAACACATAAAAGACAACATTCGATAGTTAAATATTGCTAAAAGGGTCTACGACAACATTTTAATAAGCGAATGTTGCCATTAATTAACATAATTGAGCTTTGGCAACATTTTGTAAGTAGATGTTGCTAATGCCGCCTTCACAACATTTAATAAACGTTGCAAAAAATTTTAATTTTTACAACGTTTATTAAACGTTGCAAAAAGTTAATTTTATAGCAACATTTGACGAACGTTGCTAAAACTCGCCTTTTGCAACGTTTATTGAACGTTGCGAAAACTTCCCCTTTTCGTATTGTTCAATTAACGTTGCGAAATGAAGAAAAAAACCTCAACTTTCACCCCCAAGTCCCAACAACCACTCACGAGACTTACAAACAAAGTCTTCCATCTCCACTGCGTCCTAACTTATCTTCCATCTCTCTCTCTCGCCTACAGTCCCACGAGCTCTGCCTCTCTCATTTTCTCACCAAATTGCCGATGCCAGTCGCTGATTTTACACGGTCAAGGTCGCCAGTAAGTTCTCTCTTAATTTCATGCTTTTTCCTCTCTTAATTCGCAACCCCTTCTGCAACTTCTCATCTTTTGTAGCTTCGTCGACTCAATTCTTGTTTGCTCTCTTCTCTCAATCACGGCCACAAATCAAAGATCGAGTGAGTGCCGACTGTCCCATTCTGGCAAGTGGTTTGGTAATATGTATTTTAACATATAAATTGAATGATTTTTGAAAGTTTTAGCACTATTTTCCTTGAAATGGGTTGTGATTAATCTGGTGAAAGTAGTTTTTTTTCTCTTTCTTTCTTTCCTTCCTTTTTTTTTCTTTTCATTTGGGTTGAATGAATTACATGTTCTGCAGGCGGCGGGTTCGAGGACGGTTTCTGGTCCGACTCTAGTGGCGACGACTCTGGAAACGGATACTGCAGCTAATGCCAGCAGTGGTGAGATCAGGTGGGGTTGGAATTTGAGGAATTTTATTTTTATTTTTTTATTTTTTTTATTTTTTTTGGTGTTTAAATTGGTTGACGATAAGTTGAGTTCTTTTAGATCATAGGGGCTATTGAGATCAATTTTATGCCTGTATATTCATATAAATTGTTAGGGAAGGAATACTATGGTGGATATGTGCTGCAATTTCAATACACAAAATCTATAATTTGCTTGTTCAGAGGCTGCGTTTTAGCCTTTTTCTATACTCGTGAAACTTTGGATACTTACACCTAGAGACATTTATTTATGCACGATGGAGGATATTCAAAATAGGCCTCATGAATTCATTCAGAAAATTTACCATTTGACCTTTTTGGGGACAATAAGACTGATTTACCAACATCTCTTAGGAATGCACATATCTCACTTAATTTTGCATTATCTCCTGGAAATTCCTATTTATATTTCAGCATCGGTGGGTGAAAATGTTGAGTTTTATTTAGCATTTTTGAAATGTTGTGGCACTCAATTTGTTTTAGTTTGTAATTTTTTTTCTGGCATTTCCTGTGAAGTTAAGTTTGTGCCAATAAGGTTTGGTTAATATCTTGTTAAATGAAAACATACCATGGTCATAAAACATAATTCTATTGTGTTTCGTTTTTCTCGACTCCTAGCTTTTCGATTGAAATGTTCTTTGTTTTGGATTTTTGAGTGCTTGCAGCATACAATGGGAAAGTTGTTCAAATGCCCAATGGGCAGCCTTGTTGGAGAACAATAATGTCATTGGTCTTACATATTTAACAAAACATCTGATGTGATAATTGATGTTTCTGCTTGTAGCATCCTATGATGTGCATCCAATCAATTTACCTTTCATTTCTAAGATTTTACCTTGTAGCATCCTATGATGTGCACAGAATTTATTTGTCTAATTGAGTTTAGTCATTGTAGCATTTCAATAAGTGCCACTTTAAATTGAGCAAAACAAGAATTGCTTTCATAGAACTAATAAATTCACCATTGGGCAATAGCCAACAAGCAAAAGCAACCATTTCATTATCATTATTTGATTTTTAATTAGGAATGAGTTCTCATTCCAGAAATATCTGTAGATTATTTCTTTATTTTTTTTTTTTCAATAGGGTTCCATGATTTTAGTTCTGTGATTTCATAAGGATAACATCATTTTGATTAGTGGAATTAAGCCAAATATGAAGATAGGAAAGTCATTTCCAGCACTTCCATTACTGAAGGTATAATTAAATATCTCCCTGTCTCTCTCCCTGTCTTTCCTTAGGTCTGTACGTGTATAATCGTGTCTTAACTTGATATAAATGATAAAATTTGGCAACTCAATTTCTTTCGGACACTAAGCCTATTTTTTCAATTATTGCCTTATTTTCTATTCTGATTCAGATTTGGGTCCCATCAAATCCTAAAGGAACGGAGAGATTACCTCCAGTGGCGTTGGATAAGGTCTCATAACTTAAGCACATTAGAGGTTTACTTTCATATAGTTTAAGAAGTCTAATGTAAGTGGCAATTAATTTAAGCACACTGTTTATTCTTTAAGATATCTTTTCTCGTTACTTAGTTGATGTTAAACCATTGTCAGCTTCTTTTCTGGTTTAGTTTCTTGGGTTTTTATTTTAAGTAAATGCATGGATGTAAGGGAAATGATACATTACCTTACTTGACTATTGAAGTTGCTGCAGATCTGGAAAAGGTACAATCCTATCACAATTCCTAACCAAACACAATGAGATCTATTGGATGGGAATCGAAATATATTTTAAATTCCGCTGTGCATGTATAAGTAGATTCCCAACAGTTGCCAGGTCTCCCATGGCAGCAAGTGGAAACTCAAGTGGTATCTCCGGAAAGTGGATTGCAAGTGCTTGCGAAGAGGGATAGGAATGATGCAATTTGTAAATTACATTGTGCAATTTGAATTGTCTACTCAAATTTTTGTAGTGATTGTTCATTTTTGTTGTTGTATATTATTTGTCGAAGAGGTGATAAATTTTTGTACGTAGGCATTTTTGTAGGTAGTGATTGTCCTTTTTTTCCTTTTTTTTTAGTTAGGTGGTGTTGTATTATGTTCAAGTGTATTGATTTGAAAATTTGTAATGAAGTTATCAATTTTTATGCAATTCCAAAATTTATTCACAAAGTGTCATTTTCAATTTTGCAATCAATTAATATAAATTGGTGTGTTAAAAAAAAAATTTGCAACGTTGAATAAGTCTTTTGCAACAATCTTTTGCAACGTTTATTAAACGCTGCAAAAAGTCTTCCCTTAATGACAACATCAACCTTCGCAACACATGGAAAAACGCTGCAAAAAGTCTTTTGCAACGTTTTTCGGCTGTTGCAAAAATCTTTTTTTGGTGTAGTGCTACTTGTTCCTACACTATTACAGTGCTCGATTCCTGTGGAACGATATTCTGTCCTCACAACACATGGATTGCGTGTTTTTTGGGCGTATGGAAGATGCATTGAAAGCATGGAGGAGGAGATTTCGTAATAAAGATAGCAAATTTGTTTGGGACCTTATTTCAAGATGCATCGTCTAGTGTGTGTGGAGGGAGAGAAACAGTCGTTGTTTTGATGATATACACATACAACAGAGCATATTAAAGAATTGTTTTATTCAACACTATACACTTGGTTTAATGCTGCGGCTACTACTCGTATAGATGAGTTGCCCA